GGGGGGGGGGGGTGTAACCAAAATGGGACAGAATCAAGCTCTAAAGGGGATAAAAGCAATGTCACATCAGTACCTTAGATCCACACTAGAGCATGACAGAGATGAAGAATGGATGAAGAAATGAAGTTGCGAAGTAATGAGTGCAGTTCCCTTCTATAGCTCCATCACATCCAGGCCTGCTCTGTTCTCTATGTATCAGCTCTGATAAGTGCTTCTGTACTGAAAAAGGCTTTCTGAAAGACAGTGGAACTGGTCTGAACAGCAAAAAGGCAGGTTTTGTGTGGGACACAGCATGGCTGAAGTGAACTTTGCAAGAACTGATAAGAGGAAGGCTGCTGCAGGGCTGATAACAGAAGAGTAGAGTTGTTTGCGTCTTTACTCCTTATAATTATCTCATAGCTGCCTTCTCCAGAAGGAATCTTGGAGTCACATTCATTTAAAACAGCATTTAGAAGGTTTTTTATAACATTCCTATGGCCATTCACACATGGCAAACAAATAATTCTAAATCAAATATGTGTGTCACAGCCTCTGCAGATTGGTGTAAACACCATGGTACTTTCCAGGCTACTTACCAGCTGATTATGCATAAATCAAATAGCAGTACAGTTCCTTCAGGCAGTCCCATCCATTTCTGTTTCAGCTCATACCATGTTTCTATTTCTTGCTAAGATTTTATAGTAATTATTAGTCAGAGGAATGCATTATCCTGAGAGGTTTCAGAGTAGCAGACGTGTTAGTCTGTATCTGCAAAATGAACAGGAGTACTTGTGGCACCTTAGAGACTAACAAATTTATTTGAGCATAAGGTTTCATGGGTATCCCACGAAAGCTTATGCTCAAATAAATTTGTTAATCTCTAAGGTGCCACAAGTACTCCTGTTCTCAATATCCTGAGAATTACTCACTTCTCTTTCACAGCCTGCTTTGTAAATAAGCATAGTACAAAATATTCTGATCATGAGACTGGGAACTGTAAACTCCTGATCTCTAATATGTAACCTTCAGCAAGTCACACAGGCCAAAATTTTCAAATACAGTGCCTACAATTAGGCACTCTCATCCTCATTGAGGTGCCTAAATATAAATGACCTGATTCTGCATGATGATCAGCATCCAAAACTCCCACCAAGATTGATGGGAATTTTAGCTGCTCAACACCTCTGACAATCAGGCCACATTTATTTGGTTGTCTAAATGTAGGCATGCACCCAAATTTGACTCCGAGTTAAAAAGGTTTCAGCTCAGCCTGATTTTGCTAGCATGTTTTGCACCCACATTTAATAGTTGGGGCAAGTGCTAACATTTAAATACTAAACGTCGTTTTGAGGCACAATCAGGCTGATGTGTTAATAATAGCATATGCTCCTACAATTAACTGCAGGACCAAAACTGCCCCAACAAACCGCAGGTCCGCCAAAGAAAGCCCTTGCGATTGACAATTTGAATCTGAGTAGAAAGTCTGAAGGAAGCCTGTTAAGAAGCACTGTGGCAGGCAAAGGGTTTCTAGCACTGAGGGAGAGAGACAAGGGAATTCTTGCCAAGGGCAAGCTATAATTAGACCCTTTTTTTCAGCCCACTAATGGCCACTCTCAGCTGAAACCAGCTGGGAGCTGGTGGTGAGCATGGGAAAAACTGGCTGGAAGTGGATATTCTGGCTCTGACAGAGCTGACATATGGGAGGAGGAGGCAGGCGCCTTGCCCACTGGGAGCGGCAGTCTCCTTAAGAGAGGGGGGATTCCACGTCGCATGACAGAAGCCTAATCAAAACCACCCCAGCCTTCCTCTGGTATCCTTCCTCCTCATCCTCTGGGCCCGGCTGAGCGCTTCCTAGCCCCCGCCAAAAGCAGCAGCTCTCTCCTCAAAACACTCAGCTCTCAGTTAACCCCCGCCGCTGAAGTGCTACGGAAAGAGGAGTGGCCGAGCCAGCTGCCCCCTCCACCAGCCGCTCACATGGCGCTATGGGCGCTCTAGTTATTGGCCGTTCCTCGGGCAGGCTCGCGCCCTCCTTAAGTTTCCATCCTGCATCTCTTGCCGCGCAGCCCTGCCAGGCCCAGGGGAGTGTGGCCCCAGCCCCCGGCTCCCACCGCCTTAGCAGAGAACAGGGAGCGCCATGGCTGCGCTATCGATCCAACAGCCTCCGGGGCCCCATGCTCAGTGCGAGAAGCAGGCTGGGCGCGGGCGGGAGCTCTCTGGGTCTGGCCGGAGGGTGCCGGTACAGTTGGGGCTCGAGCGAAGCGGAAGGACCCGGGGAGAGCCCGCTTCATCCGTTCCCGGCCGGGCTCGGCCCACGGTTCGCAGCCGCGACAGGGCTCACGAGCCCCATATTTAAGAGCCGTTGGTGTTCGCTGTGGCGCGAGCCCCCGGCAGGGAGCGGCTGGCAAAGCGAACAGGGCTCTGTGCCGGCGCGGGGGGAAGTGGGGAGTCACGCGCGCACCCGAAGGAGCTGACAGATCGTGACGGCAGCGCCGCCTCAGCACACACTGGATCCCAGCAGTCACTACGGTGCAGACAGACCCTCTTCCAATGAGCGTCACACACAGCCGGGCCAAGAGACATCACTGCGCCGCCGCAGCCAGCCTCAGGGCCCACCCCGCTGGGGAGACTACAACTTCCGGCAAGCACCGCGCTCGCTCAGACTCTGATAGGTCGCATAACAGAAAGCGTTCTCCGCCGGTAGAACCAGCCCCTTCGCACCCATGGGTGGGTCCAACAGCCGCGACCGACCCAGTCAACTCCCGGCGAGAAGTGCTTCCACGAAAGAGGGGCCGCAAAGAAACACGTGACAAGAGACCTACCAGGCGATTGGAGCCCTGAGCTCCATGTGACACGTGACGAGCGCATATCCTGCACGTGACTCGAGGGATTCCCGGCGATGGAGCCAGTCTCCATTGCCCCCTAGCGGGGAGGCTCAGTACTGCGCGCTGAGCGCTTTGGAGGCTGGCACGGAAGGGAGATGTGAGGGTCGCATCTGGCCAGTGGGGCGGGGAGCACAGTATGCGCAGCCTTTGCTGGCGCTGCTCGCTCCCAAAACGTTTGGGATGAAAGAGCAGAAATTCAGAGGGGAGACTTCTGCCATCCAGAAGCCCGGGGGGAAGAGCCATTATCCATGTCTGTTCAGCCGGTAGGAGACGTGAGCCCCTCTCCTTACTTTCAGCAGTGACAGACCTGTCCTAAGGGTGTGGGTTGGTCCTCTGCCCCCCGGTAAATACCAGGCCATTTCATTTGAATTCACTGATGCGGACAGTACAGGTGGTCAACTCTTGGGTTCTGTAGATAGGGCGACTGAAGTCAATGATGACAAGTTTCAGTCCTTGGGACTATTCACCTGCATAAAGAACGTGCATCACTATTTGCAGCATCAAGGCCCTTGGAACATGTTACTTTAAGAAAGAGGGACAAAGCCACCTACTGCTAACAGCCTAGAAATTCAGCTTTAGACTTGAAACTTTCATAGATTCATAGATTCTAGGACTGGAAGGGACCTCGAGAAGTCATCGAGTCCAGTCCCCTGCCCGCATGGCAGGACCAAGTACTGTCTAGACCATCCCTGATAGACATTTATCATCATTCATAGCTGATGATGATGACTGGATTCACATGCAGCTACAATAATAAAGTGAAAAACTCTCCGAAAGACATTTGTTACCAATGTAGATAAAAATAGAGGACTTATAAAATAAAAATGATTTTTTTAATTTAAATTGAATACAGGTTATTTTTTTTTCAAAATAAGCTTATTTAAAATTAAATATATAATTGACAAGTTTATGCCTTAACATAGGTTATTATAATTTATTGACATAATGTAAATTAAATAAAAAAAAATATGAAGTAGGATCTATTTGCTCCTGAAATTTTAAAGAAAGTCAAACCCCTGAATGGTGGAAGTCATTGGCTAAGTACCTGGAACTAGCGTCTGCTGAAGTACTAAACCAACTTTTGATAGCAATGGCCTCTTCTGCAGATGCAGAGAAGTTTTTTTCATTTCAATTTAGTCAACTATTTCACATGAATGACTAGTTCATTCAAAGTTAAGAAACCAATTTGGAGCTGAAAAAATAGGAAAGCTTATTTTCCTCTTCCAATCTATGAATAAAAATTAGAGGATGAGATCTATTAATTCTAAAACCTTAAAGGAGATAGGCCCAGATCCATAAAGGGATTTCGATAAATCCACAAAGGGATTTAGAGCATTGTGGTGCTTAACTTTTAGGCACATAGAAAATCACAGGAACAAAACCACAATCCACAAAGCCTGAGTTAGATGCCGAGGCTCCCTATAAGATGAAATGGAGAAATAGGTGCTGTAGAATGCTATCCACAAAAGCTAGGCAGGGAGACACCTAAACTAGCCAGTCAGAGATGCTAAGGTGTATGTGCTAAGCACCTCTTGTCACATTTTGGGGACTACTTGGACTGGTAAGAGGTTTTCTCATTGCCTGCCCGGTAACTTTGGGGGTCTTCGTGCTGTGCAGTTATGGTTCAATTTCTTGACACCAGTAGCAAGCCCACAAGCACACTCAGGCTCTCACCAGTCTTGTTAACCTATGCAGGGGGACACCATCAGGCCTTTCAGTCCTGAGTCTCCCCAGATTAAGGTTACCAATATTTCAGGTTCCCAAAAAGAGGACACTGCCAGAGGGCTGGGGGAGCTGGAGGGGGCATATAGTTGGAGGTGCTGGAGGGGTATTTGGGAGGTGCTGGGCGGGTGTATACTAGGGAGTATCTGGGGATGCTGGAGGGGTATGTGTGTACTGGGAGGAGTATTTGGGGAGTACTGGAAGGGGTATCTGTGGCAGGAATACACACTGGAGTTGGGGGGCAGTGTCTGTTCCGGTGGCAGGGCAGCTGGTTCAAGCCCAGGACGCAGTGCCAGCTATCAGTCAGCGCCTCCCTGTGGGACCCCTTCCCCAGGGCTAGGAGCCAGGGCCTGGATAGGCGGGATCCAGCAGCTATGGCTGCAGGGGAATGGACCAATCAGCTGTGGATGCAGGGAGGGACCAGTCAGGAAGCAGACCAATTGGGGCTCTTTCCGAGCTGCAATGATTGTTCTGCAAAACCCACGGGCATTGCCTGTTGTTTGAAAAATCTACCTGGACCAAGGGTGAAAGGTAAAAAAAGAGGCAATGTCCAGGAAAACCCCGATCAAAGTATGATAACCCTACCCCAAATTCATTGTAATTCTCCATTACCAGACATTTGGACCATTCCCCTCTGGTTTGTCACACCTGGAAGCATGAAACCAGCCCCATAGATATCACTTACTTTGGCACACACAGTCCACACAGTTTGAAAACCAGAGATCTGCTTTGGAAGAAAATAAAAAGTTTATTTAAGAGAAAAAAACACTGATTCAAAGATGAAATAGTGAGGGAAAGCAAACCTATACAAGTTACACAGGAAATAAATATAAAGATGCAACCTCAGACTTTATGCTTCTATATTAGATAAAATCCTTTGTCTAATACAAAGAAAACAAAGGGTAGGAATAAATGGTCAGTTTTCACAATGGAGAGAGGTAAAGAGTGGCATTCCCAAGGATCTGTATTGGGACTGGTGCTGTTCAACATATTCATAAATGATCTGGAAAAAGGGGTAAATGGTGATGTAGAAAGTTTGTGGACGATACAAAATTACTCAAGATAGTTAAGTCCAAAGCTGACTGTGAAGAGTTACAAAAGGATCTCACAAACTGGGTGATGGGGAAAGAAAATGGCAGATGAAATTCAATGTTGATAAGTGCAAAGTAATATACATTGGAAAACA